GGAGACAAAGAAAAATCTCATGCAGAAAACCCCAGGATCTGGAGATGAAAAACTTCAATCCTAATGTCTAGATGAGCAGGGGCTGAGTTGAAAACACCGCTGCACCCTGACCAGGACAGTCATCTGCCCAAATTCAGAGGCCAGGAACAGGAGACACTGGGCACATCACTGGTTCTCTATCATGAGTGATTGGGCTCCCACCCTCACTCCCTGCCCACTCTGTGACACTAGGCCCTGTGTGGAGACATCTTTTACTTTTTAAGACTGGGGGAAGGGGGATGGAGAGTTTCCACTGGTGTCTAGATGAAGGAAGGGTGAGAGAGGACGTCTCTAAATATGCTTCGGTCCTCAGGCAGACTGCTATCCCATGAAGAATGATCCCATCCAAAATATCAACACTGCAGAAGTTGAGAAACCCTAGTGTAGATCAATATCCATACACTTGAGAGTCAAGAAAACACCAATTCCTGAGTAACTCGATGTGGGGTCTGAGGAAAACTGTGGCAGCAGAGAGAACTCCAAGATTTTTGACCTGTGTATAGAGAAGGATGGAGTTGGCATGGACTAAGGTGGGGAAACTGTAGGTGCAACAGGTTGTAGGGGGAACTCATCCTCTGGGATTTTTCCCAGCAAGAACACTGGAGTGGGTGGCCACCTCTTTCTTCCTGACCCTGGAATCAAACACCATGCCTCCTGTGTCTTCTACATTGCAGGCAAATTCTTTACCCACTGAGCCATCGATGGACCCTGTAGTGGGGAAGATCTGTTTTCAAATGGCACTCGGGTCCTGCAGCCCATTGCACGGAAGAGCCAAGCAACTGACCACGTGGTGGCCAAGGAGAGTACCCCTTTCACTGCAGGGTTCTCAGAAAGGAGAACAGGCCGCTGATGCTCAAAAGACCCCCAAGTCATGGATGGCTTTCAGGCAAGTGTCAATACAGACAGTGTGGAGGAGAGGGTGCCAGGGTGTCTGATGAGCTCTCTACAGTCCTCTGACTGCTTGATGGTGAGGTAGCAAGGTGAAGTTTCTGGAACAAACATCATCATTCTGACCCTCTAGCCTCTAATGGGTCCACGTGCTTGTGGTCAGCAGTTTCCATCTGGGTTCTGTGAAAACAACCTCAGAATAGGCGTCAAACATTGTCATCTATGTCCTAAAGGGAGAAACTACAGGTCCTGTGACGCTGCTATGTGACTGACTCATTTATTGTGAAAATTGCTAGCAGTCCTCCTACAGGACTGCTGCTCTTTGTCTCTGCGTGTTCTCACTCCTCTCATCACTAATTCTTGAGCCAGA